GAGTAGCGAGATGTTAAAAAGGTCATGACATTTCTTTTAAATGCTGTATATATATATATATATATATATATATATATATATATATATATATGTATAAATTATATACTGTGGCTAGAAAATAGTTCTCCTGATCAGACCTGCTACTGCAGTTTTACCTTTATAGGCATTTTCTTTCTTTCTTTTTTTTTTTTTGCTGGCCATCAACTAGAGGTACAGACTTGTGAGGAGAAAGCCATAAACCTTGTGTTAGGGCAGAAGAAACGTCAGCACCACTGCTTACTCATCTGTTAAAAACGGAGTGATCTGCAAAAGTTTGTACGAGAGGGTTTTTGACAGTGCCCTGCTGCTTTGTCAGTGCAGCACATGCTGCAGGCACTGGCATCCCCTATTGCCTTCCAGGTCATTGGTCAGGGTCGGCGGGCGGTCGGCTTCCAGCCCCACGACACGTCCCTAGTTCACAGCTGGATCTGTAACAAGGTATCACAGCAAATGAGTCGGTAAAACATCAGTGTTCTGAAGAGCGTGAAAAATTGTCATGATATCATTTGTGATTTGTGATCTGTACTGCTGTTGGACAGAGAAGGTGCTGTACAGAGGGAAGGACAGTATGTGGAGATGGTGGAGTTTTATTCCACTGCACCAACTTTACCACCAGTCCACTGTAGCTGCCCACTGCCTCTCCCAGTGCCACAAACTTCTCCTGCTGATGCCTGAAGGGAGTAATCTAGGCTGATGTAATGAGACATTATAACCTGTAATCCTCAGCCCAGTGGCTTATAGGTGTTGCACACTAACCATGAGGCCATTATGACACAGTGTCTTGTTTTCCAATATGGTCTTTGCTTAGCGTTGTCTATGAGCCCTAGTGGTAGGAATGTGTCACATCAGTTGTGTCCTGCTGTGTTTTGATGAGAGTGATTATGTTTAAGAGGCTAAATAGTCAATGGTGTAAAATGGAATTATTTGTACACATTTTAACATCTGGCCATAATTTTGAAGTGCTGTTTAAATTGTAAAATGAATAACACATACAATTATACAATAATTATAATACCCATGTCATCTATATTTAGGCCAAAAGCAGTTAATGGTGTTGTGTTCATATACAGAAAAAATCCTCACCCACAGCTCTTGGACCAGTACTGGACCATAGATACTTTGGTATGGGCCACACAGTAAAAATGAAAGGTTTTGATTTTTTGTTTTGTTTTGAAAATCAAGCACTTTTCTCTACTAATCTATACAAATCACAATATCATCATAGAAACTATAACATGCAATAATTATTAATTATATATATAAATGGCAATTGTATTTCTATTGTATGTCTCCAATTATATTTTTTGGGGGTCAAGTATGGGTTAACTCTTCCTGCCATGTTTTCTGACTATAGGTACAAATGTATCTGTCCAGGGTGAACCCCGCCCTAACCAATGACTGCTGGGTCTGGTGCTGACACACAGAGGATGAAAAGATCAAAAATAAATTTCAGCGATGTATTCAACATGCCCAGGTTTTGACTATACAGGCCTATATTTTACAGTATGTTCTTACTGTTGTCTCTTTCATCAGGCCTTAAACTTGAGTTGAGTGAGTTGACATAAAGGATGGTGGTTTAGACTAAACTAAAACTCAAATTATTTCCTTTTTGTAATCTAACTACTGTATTTCTACACTTGTTGAAATTATAGTCTTGGTTATCTCAGCAGTAGCAGTTGACCTTGTGTGACATTATTAGATCTTGGCCAAAAGTTTAAACACCCCTGCTGTACAACAGCTAGAGTTAAAAAAAGAAAACCCCAGGAGACAATAAAAATATCAACATAATGTATTATGCAATAAAATAAAGGATAAACCCTCATGATGTCTAACCTTTCTGCGGTGGGAGTACAGTTAGCTGCATGTGACAGTGTGTGCAAGTTTGACAGATGCAAAGAATGGACAAACATCAGCTCCCTCTAAAACCACAATGGAGACCTTGGATCTAAATGTCATGGTTTCATAACGGATATACTGACATTTGTGTGATGGGATTTAGCCATGGGTTAATACAGCCATTGCTGACACACGGCATTGATGTCCATCTCACTTGGGCTGTGAAGTCTATCTCGCCATTTTTTTTTTCTTTCTTTTTTGGTGCCCTCACAGAAGTTTCTTTCAAAGGGATGAATTGGATTCTATGCTAGTTAAAGCCAATTATTATATCAGAAAAATGTTTGATATGTACGGTTTAGTTTCTTTGGATGTTAACGTGCCTCAGGAGCTATTCAGATCATTCAATTATTTATTTATTTATTTTGTTTGGGGAGTGTTGCAGCTCAGGAAGCCAGGCGATCAGCATTAAAATCAGAGCCATGTAAAACTAATCAATTATGCCGTTTTTCAGATAAAATGTTGGTAAATCAAAACACATTTTGCAAAAGTCACAGTATAATGAGAAATTTGAATTGGAAACAGCAAAGCATTTGTTTATTATAAATGCCAGGCAGAGGTGGTGACTTGCCATCCATAAATTTCGTTATCCTTTCATATTCCTTTTATCTGGGGCTACAGCTTTGGCACTCGTTCAAGATTTTAATGAAGCCAGACTTCTGAGGCATCAAGGCCTAGTGATGCATTGTCCATTTGGATCAGGGCGTACGGAGGGGGTAGTGGGGGGAGAGGGGGTGGCAAAGGCAAAATGCTTCTGCCTTTGACATAATATTTTATAGTCTATTGCCCTACAGGGGGGTCATTAGGTGACTACAACATTTAACAACATAAAAGTGTTACAAGAGTAAACAAACACAAATTCAGCATGTAGCTAAAATTAACAAGCACATTTGCACCCATCCAGAAAAGCTCACACACATTTGAAAAAATAATAATGTTAAAATTAACAAATTCTATACCTTCATCCATCCTGGCAGTGTAGTGGTTTATAATGCAATATTACAAAGGTCAAAGTTCATGCACATTCAGCAGCTTTTTAAAAGACTATTTTTGACTGAAAATCAGCTAAAACGTTGTTTATTTGAAAAGGTGAAAGGTCTTTTGTTATGGCTGATTTTTGCTGGCATTAAATAGAAAGGCAAGAATCACTTTTACTGTATCTATGTTTTTTCAGTCTGTTGCAGACGGGTATTTTTAAATTTGGTTTAAAAAGCAGAATTGTTTGTTGGTGACTTTTCTAGAAATAGGGTTAGTAATGTTATGCACCCTTGTGTGTGTGTGTCTGTGTGTTGCTGTGGCAAAGGGGGCGACTTGAATGAAAAAATAATTTTCTGTGCCCTGTGAAGACACTAAGAAACCCCCAGCTCTGGCGCGACCTGGTGTCGGCTGCTTTCTCGGGCTCAGAAGGTTCCTACGGGAGACCAGAATGGAAGTTAAGCATCTTGCTGTGATCCACAGAAAGTGTGCCAAATGCTATCAAAACTGGATTAGTAGACAACAATTGTGTTCGATGAACGGAAGAGAGAGTGAAAGGAAGAGTTTCCAAGTAACCCATAAATGGAATTTTTCAAACTCCATTGCATTTTTTATCCCATGTAGGGACTGATGTGCAATAAGCCTCAGTTTCTTAGAAATAAAGTCTGCACTGGGCAACACATTCTGGGATCTACTCAGGGGCAGCAAGTTCATGATAATGTTAAATGATCAAATGCAGATAACTGTAAAACCAGCAAATAATGAAAGTACAAGTAAGAACAGTCTACCAATTATACCTAAAGCTTGAGCAGATTGACTTGCTGAGTTTTAGATATATTCAGGTGGTTTTATTTGCATGGGCTTAATTTGGTGTGACTTATGGCTTTTACAACTTTTTGAAACTGTAAGCATTTTGTTATCTATATTTCCTGCTGGGGTTTCTTCACTCTCAGCTTTAGTTGCTATAACTGCCATTTATAACTGATTTTTTTTACCTTTTCTTAAATTCCCTCCTAGTCCTTGGCCTATGTTTTTTCTACATTTAGCCAACTATGGCTATTTCTACTCAAAAAAAGATAAGGACTTTAAAATTGGATTTTAATTAAATCAAATATTAGTTGAATAAATAATACAAAATATGTGCAATGTAATTCTAAAAACCAAACTGTCACCATGTGAGGCAAAGCATCATATACTCCTTGTGATTAAAATTTCAGCCACCGAAAAACCTTTGACCCCACAACACTCCATAAAGTACAGTGAAGTACAGGAGCACATGGACATTTAAATATACCAGCAACCCGATGGCTGTCCTCTGAACGCTGACATTTGGAGCAAATCCCCTGCTGACTTAATCATGGCAAATATTGCGTGTCATTTGTGCACCACACTTGGACCTGGCTGATGGTAGTGGTAGTAATTCACCACTGCTGTGAGAGAGAGCCCCTGGGGTGACGTGCTGTGTGCTCGAATCTCTCTTCTCTCCCTTCTTTTGATCCCTGCTTCATTGGGAAGACTGTGCCTGTCTCTGTCCCTTCTGTCTCATAGAGCAGAAGGACACCAGAGTCATCCTAGACAGAGACCATCTGTGACGGCAAAATCGATTAAAAATAACAACAGACGTGAATATTTCTTGGAAAGATGTCAAACATTTGTTACATGCAAATCCGATTACATCTTAATTTATTTCAAATTTAATAAAATATAATAAAATTGATTGTGCGTCATTTAATATAATGTACTATTTTTTAAAATTATATTATTCTAAAAGAATAATTTATTTTATTTTAATTTAGGGATCTATATTGACTTTGTTGTAGTTCAATTTCATTCTCCCTACACTCTCTGTTTACCTCCCCATGTGCTTGATGGTTCCCACCGTCCGACGCTTTTTAAAGGTAACCAATAATATCGCTCAGACAACAGCCAGGAAGTACTTGGGCCGCCAATGGCCGTACGTGTCTTTGACACGTCATTGAGGGAAACATGGCGGCGCACGTTACCATGTCTGTGAGACGACTTCTCCCACAGTAAGTTTACGTTTCTATGTTTCCCTTTCTCCAAGTACACTTATGAACACTTTATGTTCTCTGAAAATTAAATATTGACGCGCGTTCATTTTTATTTTGACTTAGTACGTTTGTGTTAAATGACAACGACGTAGATATCACAGCAGCAGCACTGTCTCCACGAAACCAGTGTTTGTTCTGTTTCAAATTAACACTTAACAATATTTTCCAGATATCTGAATGTCATTCAACAATATTTGGGCAGTGTATTACTAAAGCATTGTTGACTACACGTGTTGTCCAGCAATCTGTCGGTAGTACTAATGAAAACATCTTTAACAACAGAAAAAAATCCAAAATAGACTAGCTGAAAGTAGAAAAAGCACACACTTAATTTGCATAATTGAAAAATGATATTTCATTAAATATAAAGATTTTCTAATACGCTTATACTTCTTTGCAAGGAAAAAGGGAAAAACATGGGCTTAATGATCTTTATAGGTAATATCTTATGGTTGTGCTGGTCTGGTCCACTTGACATTTAGTTATGTGGCCCCTGAACCAAAATGAGTTTGACACCCCTTCATTAGTTGTTTTGTGAAAGGCCAATGCAATATAATTTATAAAAACTGCAAAGATTACTGAATCTGAATAATATGATTAAAATTAAGAGAAAACCTTACGTTATTATTCCTGTACAAAGTATATTTTTCTTTCTGCTGGCTATAATAACTTTTTATGTCTCTGCCAAATGTTATTTACAAACTGAAAAATGCAGAAAAACTGAAATCTATTGTTTAAAATATTATGATTTAGCTTCAAATAAGTTCATGGTAATAATTACTATTACTGGGTTTTCTTTTCAGTTTCTATTGGAAAGTTTTGTGGCCTTGTATCACTCACATCAACTTTGTATTGTTTTGTTTTTATGGGTTATCAATGTCCAGTCTTGTACAAGTCACTGTTAAATATACCTCCACTTCTACGCTATCTATGCAAACTTTTTACAACTTAATTCAGCAGAGGGCACTATATGCTCATTGAAACTTATATTCACTGTCTTATCTTGTCATTGTCTTGGTTTGGTTCAGGGCAGCAAGGCTGAGATTGGTCAAAGTGAGGTCAGCCAATCAGAGTTAGAATAGTGTGGACCTTCACTGAACAGTGGCATGAAAAAACTGCTTTGTGTGTAAACAAAAATCAGCTGACATGGTTGTTCACTGTGTCATTGGTTGTGTTGTTTGGTGGAATGTTGAAAACCGGGCCTTTAGTCCAGAATGGAGCAGGGTGTTTGTGTCCTTCCTCATTTCTTCCTCATTTAGTTGCACTGAGAATAAATATTGTTAATGTGAGTCACTGAATTCACACAGACGTTGATGGCACAATGATACAATAATATTTGTTAAATAATTAAATTCTAGATGTAAATAATAATGTAGCTCAAACACAGTGACACTATAAACATGTACACTAGAAATGTTCTCTAAATCATAATTGACTACCATGAGTCAATTATGAGTCAGACTAAATCATAATTGACTACCATGAGTCAGACTGTGAACGGCTTTATGTCTCTGCATGATGAGGAGGTTACTGGTTATTTCTTCAATGCATTAAATTAAATTTGAAATTTGTTGGTTTAATTTAGAGTGTGTTTCCTGTATTACTAACAAACTCAATTAAATATTTTAAGAAAGCCAAATCAGTCCGGTCTAGCTCTTGAGACCCTGTGACAAATGGTACGAAGTTGGCTAATTACCTTTTTATTTATTTATTTATTTACTTCCACATAGGTTTTATAGATGAGATAGGTGAGTGTGCTTAGTAACAGCCTTGACACTTAACACACAAACTGTTTTCTCAGTTAGTGCTCCTTTAACTTAGTATTGCTTTTTTTTTTTTTTTTTTTACAAACAGTCCAAATCACAGCATTTAGAATGATTATTACATCATGGACTGTGTGGACCTATTTAAAGCTAAGTCATATGAAATCTACAGATCATCATTCATCTTAGCTGGTGCTTTTGGGAGGAGTTGGTCCATTCACAGTTTAATGCAGACCCTGTCAGGCGGCTGCAGCAAGGAGAGGAATGTGTGCGCTTGTTTTATGGACAGCCTTGAGCCTTTGCCCTGGTATTGGCGTTAGACTGCTCTTTGTCACAAACACCCTTGTGTCAAAGATGCAACAGCATCCTGGAGGAAACATTGACTGCCTCTGTGAAGTCGACAAGTGATGAAAGTAGCCTAGAGGTTGTCAATTAAGAGAGCCGAGGCCTGGGCTTTATAAGTTAATGGGCAGTTTCCCCTCTCAGGGCCTGCTAGGGCTTTATAGCACAGCTTATAAAGCCCTCAAGTGTAATGCACCCCTATAACGTTTTCAATTAAGAGAAGAAGCATAAAGCAGCGCAGACACTTGGCAGTCGAGCTAAAATGTTTATAAAGGGGCATTTTGGCATAAATTGGGATGGGGGGATTTTCAATTGCTTCAGTTGTTTTAAAGCAGCAGCTACTGTGCAGAATTTTGTTTTGATGGCACTTCATGCTGACTGGAAGCATTACAGACTTCCTGGTGTCTTCCCATTACTTGTTCCTTTAGCTTGGTCATATGGACGCACAGCCTGACATTTAACAGCCCCATCTTCTCAGTTGTGAATGCAATTAAAGGCTAGACAAGTTGGACTCTTAATATGCAATTGTAATATTACACTTTCCTAATATTAACACAAAGGGTCATTAAAACTTCATTAGACATTTCACAGTAATCTGGTTAATTTGCAATGAGGGTATTATTTTTATAGCAGGGACATTTTACTTTACTTCCCCAAGTTTCTTGTTTTTTTTTTTTTTTTTTTTTTTTTTTGGTGCTCTGAGAAACAAGTGGTGCCTGAAAGAAAATCCCTTTGCTCATCTGGTGACTTCTGGGGTCGAAGCGACTTTGGCTTCTGGTAGAAAAATAAATGAGTGCTGAGTAAACACCAGTGTGTTGACACCTCATTTCCTTGTTGATTGGTGGTGGAAGCTGAGGTTGAGGTGTGTGGCCATAATCCAATCATTTGTAAAAACAACCACAAGAACTTTGTAACCAAATTCTACAGCTGTGTGAGGATGAGGTTTGCAAAGTAACCTTGTCGTCTTTGTTGTGTTTTAACCACATATTGGCTTATCAAGTAAAACTTGACACATTCTTGGCCTTTATATCTCAATGAGCAGGCTTTAGATTATTATTTTTTTTACATATAAAAAATCTTTGAGGGTTAAGGATACGAGAGGTAATGTTGATATGTAGGGTTTTTTTATGAAGAACTGTCTTTGAAGGACAAAGGACATTAACATTTGTTCTCTTCTTATATTGCAGATAAATATTTAATACAGGGATATGTGGATAACTTTAGCTAGAATGTTGAAAAAAACAGGATTGCCTTTGCCGGGCTAAATGCAAACTTTGTAATACCTGCATATAATGATTTTCTTTACAACACTGTTAATAAGGGTCATTTTTTTTGCTATAGTTTAAAGACAAGGAATCAATAAATCGTTGTATTACTTGATGTTGACCTGGCTAATCTTGCCTTTGAAATCTGTTACAGAGCATTAAGTTAACACATGTTGCTGGGTAAAAACAAACCGCATAGTAACTGGCCAGCTGAGTAAACGTAACTGAGGGAGCATCGGTGGGAGGGAGAGAAGACGGGGCCTACACTTGTCCCAGCACTGACCATGGTAGGTTCATACAGCCAACAGATGGATATGTTACCCTGTATCCCCATAGGGAAAAATACAATCCAAACAAGTGTATATGTTCAAGTACTGAAGCCTTTGATCAACGGCACATCTTCGCCTTCAGAGCGGGATATTTTAGAACACCCAAACACACACATGGACTCACATCTGTAAAAACACGGCCCGCAAGGAATGTGTGAACAATGCAACCAAAGAATTCTGTTCAAGAAACATGGGGTGGACTTGGCTAATGGGTCGTTTATGTGGTTTAGAATTGAAACATGGTGGTCGTATTGAATAAAAAGCTGAGGAAATATTCTCTGTTTTCAATAAAAACAAAAAGATGAGCTTGTCTTTCTGCTTTCATGGTTGTGCAAGTGATTTGATGAAATGATTCTTCTGGAATGTAATGCCTGGTGTCCTGTTCTTGATGTTGGTTTTTGAGATTTCGACTGAGCTACGTAGGCCGGCTGACATCTCCAATTTTTTCATTGAAGAGCAACATTGAAGGACTGGGCTAAAAATAGAGAATAGAGAAAAAAATATATAACATAGTCCATCCATCTTTCTGTTTGTCTGTAAAGTGCAGCATGCTGGACTGGCTAATCCACCAAAACAATGGCTTTGCTACAGAGGTAGCCTCTCGATAGACTTGGTTTCCTGATGTGTTCATCTACGTGGGCTGTATCTTATTCATGACCTTAATTGGCTTGATGATATGATTTTGTCTGGTTGGCTTTTCGATCTACATCTTAAGGACAACTATATTTCTCACTAGCAGTGTAACTTTAAAGAAGTTTACATAGTATCAGCAAGATGTGTGTGTATATGTGCCTGTGTGTTGGGGATTGGGTCATCACCATGAACACATAAAGATGT